ATATTTAAAGGATTTGCCACTGATGATTCAAACGCGAGTTTTGAGCAGTGTAGAGCAGCGCTTGTTGTGTCACAAATGCAGACATGATTTTATGTTTACGCAGCACGATGCAACGCGTAAAAAGACAGTATAAGTCATTATAATCCGTAATTATGTCCCCACTGGATGCAACAAATTCCTTGTTATAATGGGTTTTATTGGTTTTGTCTCGTCGCTCCGGGACACGGCATCACAATATGGTAAGGGGCGTAACATTTCCGTCACATGCTTGAGGTATTCGGCTAATCACAATGCACTGGATAGCTGGCCAATCAGAGCACACCTCGCTTTTCAGAACGATGAGCTTTGTAAAAATCGACGCGTTTCAGAAAGGCGGGGCATAGAGGAGAAACAATAATGTACAGTATGTGGAAAATAATGTTTTTTCACTTCACTACATTTCATTACACCAAATACACAAAATAATGTTCTTTTTTAGCAACGTCATATGACCCTTTAAAGGAGTTTTCTTTAAAAAGTGCTGTGCATTTAAATGAAATGCCACTTGGTTTGATACTTTGTAAACTAATGCAATGACATTCATACATTTTTAAGTGTGGCTTCAGCATTTGGGTCACTATATTATGTATTTATTCATATAGATCGGGGATTTTCGAACATTTTGATGCCACTGACGCCCAAATATGGCCATCCCTTTGTGAAATATTAATGCTATAAAATCTATAAAGACCCATTTATACTGTGGAAAACAATACAAGACCTGTACAATATTATCTGGAAAATATTTTAATTATATAGTATATATATAGTACACTTGCTATTAAGTTGACATCTTTTTTTGATTTTATTAATATCATGATTTACAACCAGAGTTTAGAAAGCATAAACAAATTATAATTTTTTTAATTAAATTAAAAATATAAATTTAATGTATTATATTTTAAAACTATATACTATTATTTACTTATCTGATTTTAAAACAATTATTCTAGAGGTCCCCGGACCCAAGTTTGAAAACTCAGTATAGAGACTACATTTTATTTTGACCATAAAAAATCGGAATGAGGCCTGTATAAGAGTTTAGTGTTATTTTAGTATTATTTTTATACTATTACAGAATTTATCATTATTTTGAATTAGCTTTTGTTTTGGGTTTGTTTTGGGTTTGAATTAGCTTTTGTTTTCGGTTTCATTTTAGTAATTTAGTAATTTTATGTACTTCTGTCATTTTTTTAATATTTCTATTTAGCTTTAATTTCTTTTATTTTAGTTTTCAACCTAAAATTAGTTATTTCACTTGGTTCCCAATGCAACATTTCTATTTGAAGATTAAGTAAAAAATTCCAATATAAATATAAAAATACATTTTCTAATATTTGTTTCATTTCAGCTATATTTTAATTAACAAAAATTATTTTAGTGAGTCTTACTTGTAGCTTTAGTTAACAACACTGGGAGTGATAAGATAAAAACTAACCGGAGAGTTTGGAGGAGTGAAGTCCTCCTCCCGAAACGAGCAGTTGAGCATGCGGAAGGTCTCCAGCGTCTGTTCATGTCTCTGTATAGTGGCCTGGATCGCCTGTGAGAAAGTGAACAAAGAATGAGAATAATGTAAGCAGAAGTGTTATAGCCGAGGGATATGAGAACCTGATATGATGAAGAAAAGCTTACCTGAATCCAATCTCTCTTCTCCTCTTCCGTCCTGGTAAAAAAAAAAAAGGCGAACATTTGAAAAAATGCCAAAAGCCGCACATATTTCTCTTGTTTTCCAATGGCTGATATGCTTATCTTGGGTATTTTCTCCTAATGTGCAAAAGCTCAGACAACATTTCTGTGGTTGTCAATGAACCCCAGACCTGATTTTTAATGCAGAAGCACATTCCCTCAGCCATACCTTGCTTGCAGTTCTAGTGAACGCTGTTTTCCCGAAACCAGAAATGTTCGTGGTACGTTCATGCTGCTGGTCTCCTTTAGCTGTGAAGCAATGCAGAATAAATCAGCCATTTGATAACAGCAGATTTATTTTGAGTATTATGCTGTAAACAAGATAAAAACACGCCGAACCTCCATGCCGTCTACGTCAATCCGCGCTCGCACTCCAAACTTCTGCCCTATCAGCCTCAGTTTGGGGACGCAGTACAACAACCTGTCATTGAACTTCAGAGAGAGACTAACAGAGTTAAACATGCATGATTTACCAACATTTTTGTTGCCAACAGCACTTTGAGGTATGATTTATGTCATTAATGATTGTCTTTGACTCACCAGAATGAGGTATCTATCCTGTGATGTCCCGTTTTTAGCTGACAGTTTCAGAATGTGTCCCTCTTTAATGAGCTCATTAGTCGGGTTAACAATGTCCTCTTCTCCACCGAGCAACTCGTACACTTTCAGCAGCTTTCTCATGCGCTCCTGAGGGACAAAACATTCACACGTTTGTAGAAACATCTGTCATGTCATTCAAGTAATGGCCAAAGAAATGGCCAAATTTCCCCACCAATATTTGCTATTTGTGATATTCATATACTAGGGATGCACGACATTAGATATTTGCCGATATTTTTTAACTCGGCCGATAACCGATGCCGATACCGATATAATTTCCTTTTGTTTGGAAGCAACACCAAGTGTAGCAAATTATTTAAAAAAACATTTTTTTAACAAGAACTTATTCACGTTTGTAGAAACATCTGTCATGTCATTCAAGTAATGGCCAAAGAAATGGCCAAATTTCCCCACCAATATTTGCTATTTGTGATATTCATATACTAGGGATGCACGACATTGGATATTTGCCGATATTTTTTAACTCGGCTGATAACCGATGCCGATACCGATATATTTCCTTTTGTTTGGAAGCAACACCAAGTGTAGCAAATTATTTAAAAAAAAACATTTTTTTAACAAGAACTTATTTGTTAGAATTAAATAAACAATAATGAAGTTATTTTATAATGACAGTACACTGAAGCTTTGAAAATAACTATAAATAAACTATATCAATCGCTGCATTTTTTTTCAGAAAGATGCAGTAGTAGCCTTAACAAATTATTTATCATAATTTGTTTAAAAAAATGACATATAACACATTAATGAATAAATCAGTATACATAAAATTATTTAATTTACAAGTGTCATATTTGTGATTTTTTTTTATTCATGAAAGCGATAGCGTCTGACCTTTAAATCAAAACATACTCATGATTTTATGACATAAATTACTGCTTTAATTAATCAGAAACACAGTCTAAATGTTATTTGTATATTTTACTTTCATTTTATTAAAAGTAGGCCAACAGCGCCCCCTACGGAATTAAAACTCCTTACCGAACGGTGTTAGGACCCGGGGGAAGCTGCCGCTACACGTGCTATTACTGTTTACTCGCACACCGAATGCGTCATTCTGTAAGTGCATTCTCAGTTTAAATGCAGTGATCCAAAGCAGTGAATCTAATTGCCATTCAGGCAAAACTTTGCTTTCAGAATGAGTCACACTTCTGATGTGATCTAATCGCTAGCACACCCTGAGCACATGTGAGTTAATGTATTCCTCTTATCGGCAAGACACATCGGCATATTTTTTCATATCGGGCCTATGCCGATATGTACATTTAAAGCCATTATCGACCGATTCCGTATATCGGTCCGATAATATCATGCATCCCTAACATATACATATATTTTAGTAATAGTATAATATTATAGTAATAATAATTAATAATTCTATCTATCTATCTATTTTTTGTAATATTTTAATAAATAATTTTGTAATATAAAAATAAAAAAGGATTGCCCTGTGCATGCTGTT